GGGGCAGTTATCTGTTGATCCTCACCAAGGCTCCTCACTTTCCTGACTCAGAAAGTGTCACGTGTCCCCTCCCTGGCCCTTTGTCACAGTCCCTGTTCTATTGCTGTGGAGAGACACTGAGGCAACTCTTACAAAAGGAAGCATTTCGTCGGGGATGTGCTTACAGAGGTTTAGTCCATTATCATCAGGGGGGCGGGGAGAGCATGGGAGCACACACAGCTTTGGGGCAGTAGCTGAGAGCCATATCCCCATCTGATCCGCGGTTGGAGGGAGGGAGACACTGGGCTTGGCATGGGCTTTTGAAACCTCAAAGCACCCCCCCCACACACACACACAGTTCCTCCAATCCTTTCAATAGTGCCACTCCCCCGTGACTAAATATTCACATCTATGAGGCTACTCTTACTCAAATTACCACACTTCTCTATTTTTTTAATAGTTGCCAAAATCCTAAGCATGCTTGTCTTTACACTCTGGGCATCTGCACTTCCTCTGAGGTACTACTTCGTGAAGGGTTAAAAAAGGCCAGTTAGAGAAAACTCTGGCCCTGAGACCAGAGCCAAAGAAACACACCCTGCCCCTAACCAACTCAGGAACTGAAATTCAACCCAATCACTGAGCATGAACACCAACCAATCCCAGAGCATGAAACCAACCGATCGCTGAGCATGAAAGCTACCCATCTGTGCACTTGTTTCAAGCTCAGGAATTGAGATCCTAACAATCCCCCACCCTGAGAATCTCCGCCCCTAAGAAATCCTATGTAAGCCCTGTACCTGCTCAGTTTGGGGCCGCACCTTTTCTACCCTGGCAGAGGCCGCCACTCTTCTAGGTTCCTCCCTTCCAATAAATCTCGAGTGAGGTTTGTTGTAACGGCTTTCTTTTGCTAGAGGGGAGTGGAGCAGAGATGGAACAACTTTCACTAGAACAGAGAAGAGTTGCAATGGCTCTTGCTGGAGCAGAGTTACAACAGCAACACTTTGGCTGGGGAAGCTTTCCCTTGCTGGAGCCAAGTGTCACATTCCTAGGAAGCACCGGAAGCCGGGCTCTGTATTTTGAGGGAAAAGGGAAAATGAAAAAGTAGGGAGAACAAAGAGAAGAGAAGGGCTGTGTGTGCAGGTGTGTGTGTGTGTGTGCAGGTGTGTGTGTGTGTGTGTGTGTGTGTGTAGGGGGGTGTTCTGTGCTCAGGACCAGAGTGCTCAGTACTCAGGTGGAGAAAGGAAACTCCCAATGGATTGAAGAGGTAGGATGCTTAAGCCTTCTCTTGACTACCTTAAGCCACCCATCTTCTTCAAAAAGCTTATTTTACCAGTTAAGAAGACCCTAGCTTTTTAAATTGTTGTTACTTTATGAGTGTTTGCCTGCATGTATCACGCATGTGTGATGCCCGACAAGGCCTGAGGAAGGCACTGGATCCCCTAGAACTAGAGTGACAGATGGTTGTGAGCTGCCATGTGGGTGCTGGGAACTAAATCCAGGTCCTTTGCAAGAGCAACGAATGCTTTTAACCGCTGAGCCATCTCTCCAGCCCCAAGACTCCTTACCTCTTTAACAGGGGCAGTTTTCGACAGATGAAAACAAAATCATTCCTTTAAGTTCATCTTTAAAATAAAGACCCGATTTGTATAACACACTGAAGGAATAGCCCTTTCAGCTTCCTTTTTAGATGTGTGTAATCAAATGCACGAGCCCCCACATTGTCTCATGGTCAGAATTATCTTATTGACGCCTCGACAAGAGGGCAGAGGCACTGTAGACAAGGGACCAACTCTCACCAATGATACAGCAAGCATGAAAAAAAAAAAAAACAGATGCAGAAAAAAAAAAAAAAAAAACAAGCCACTTTCCATGTACCTGAACAGCAACACACTACCCTTTCCTGAACTGTGTTCAGCCAGAGAGGGTGCTGTGATCCGTCATGCGCAAAGGGGCCACCTGCCATCCCTCTGATTATATATCCTCCTGCTGCTTTCTTACTTAGAAAAACAAACAAAAAGCTCACACAGATGGTAGAAAAATATCACAATACTATTGATGAGTCATCTTGTTGGATGGCTCACTTCTGTCCATGCTTTTTAGTGATTCATCATGATTCCATGAGGCCAGGACCACCGCAGCCTAAGTATCCTTAACATTAGTGGGCTTATAACTAGAATATATTAAAATGCTTATAGAACAGGTGGTTTGAACTCATTCTAACCTCCTTTTACATCTCCAAACCTTCCCTGTCACACTACTGGTATATCCTTTAAAACAAACAGAAAAGCTCACTTTAAATAATCAAGTATTCCATATATTCAAGTGAATATGTTTTATTAAATGCATACTAATATCTTTCTCTAGTATGTGAGTATACATAATAAATTAAAATGCATATTTATTAAATATAAGTCGATATAATACCAGAACATGATTATTCCAGATGAGAAATCAAAATAAACCCACTTTTAAAGTATCTTTTGGTCACTCCAAATGGATACTGTTCATAAAAAAATACACCAGTTTTCCCTGGGGAAAAAAATTAATTCCATAGCAATGAAGTTAAGGGACATGTTTTATTTCATAGCTTTCTTTCTTTCTTTTTTTCTTTTTTGCAAGCGAAATTGCTGTTACAAAATGAGTTCAATGATACAGGGCTGCTGTCCACCCAAGCAAAGCAAATCTCACGTTTATACGAATGCACTTGGCATCACATCCTTACAGTGTAGGCGGCTGATACCCAGGGCGCGTCTGGCTGCGTCTAAAGCAACGGATCAAGGATGCTGAGAGGTGCTTGCACACCCTGGTACCCGCGGCTGCTTGGAGCAATCTCCTGTGAGTCTCTGTTGGTTACTGCTTGAAGAACTGGGTGTTGATGTGTTTTTCCTTTTACTTTCCTTCTCATTTACAGTTAAAGCATCTCAAAAAAAAAAAAATATTTCCCTGCTAAGTCTGTCAGATGCTCAGAATTTTCATAGGGACGAGTGTCATGAGGTAACCCTTAATGTGAGCTGTGTAGCGCTGTGGCTGTCAGCGAGGATGTAGACTTACCTGGAGGACAGTAACGGACTTCAGTGTGTGGTCTACACGTGACAGTGCAGGAACACTAGTTCATGTTAAATCCTTTCTTCCTTATCACATATGATGTGACTTTACCCCCAGAAAATCTGACCAAAAAGTGATACAGATCAAATAAAAAGACAAATACACAAATAAGGCCATCTGTAGAATTTAAAACTCGCCTCCTGCAATATTTCACAGTAATCTCTACATCGTATTTTACATCATTCACTTAAATAATAAATGCTCGGGGAAGGAAGGGCTGGCTGGAGCCCAATTGCACTATCTCTTTGAAGACTTGTCTAATTTGCTGGCAGGTGACTTCCTCTGGGGCGTGGGGATTTTGGAAGGCTTGGCTGTGGATGGCCGAGAACCTGCTCGGGGCACAGGTCTGTGCGGCTGTGGGACAGTCTCCACGTCTGAGCACACAGACTGGATTTCGGAAATGTCAAAGTCTGACGCGTCACTGCCTCGGCGGCTGCTGGCCCTGCTGCCGGCTTTGCTTCCGGCTCTGCTTCCGGGGCGGCTGGGAGTCTTCCTGGACTCTGAGGGGAGGAGAGAGAGAGAGAGGGGAGTCACCTGTGTTACCTGAGTCACCTCCACACGAGTCTAGAAAACTGAGCCGCCACGGCTAATCTCAACGTGCTTCTCTTGCACTCAGTAGTCACGTAAGAATACTTTGGTCTTGCGGCTTTTCATGATCACACAAGGGTAGGCAGCCTCATCCTAGTGTAGACATTACATATCAACACCTAGATAGACATTCCAAAGGAAGTCTGGACTTACTCCATTTAAAACTTAAGACACTTCCATTACAGACAGACACCAAGAACATCCCTGCTGCTGGAGGTGATGCCCTCGCAAGCCTGGGGCCCACAGGCTCTCAGGTATAAGTCTTGCCTGAGGGGAAGTGTCTTAAATAATGTGAGAAGGGCCCCTCATACTGAGCTCAGAGGTTGGCATTGCTGGAGTGTCCCTAAATTTATGATTCTTTGAAGGGATTACTGATGGAAGGCCCAGTAACCCGGATCAGCTCCACGCGCTCCCTGAGTGACAAAGGTGGTTCCCAGAGTGAAGGGCGCCACGCTGGCATCTGTTTATGCCCCAACCTTCTCTGGTTCTTTCTCCAAAGGAGACGGGGCTTAGACACTTGTTCCTAGGATTCATTTATCTCCTGTCTTTGTTGGAGGATTAGAGCTTCAATTCATTTCAAAAGAATACAGCCTTGTCACGACATTTCTTTTCAAATCAGGAGGAGAGGGAACTTTAGTCCTGAGGTCACCGTTAAACAAAGAAATGGCCCGCACTCACCAGCGAGCTGCGTTCGGACTCGGGCAGCTGCGGCTGTGATCAAGGCTCTGTCCTCCCCGGAGTGGAAGCCTTTCCCTGACAGATACCCCGGAAGTCGCAGCTTGCTTCCCTGGATTGGAGTTCCCTGTGTGTGACCAGTGCAGAGAACACGTTAGACTTTGCCCGTGTGTCGTGATGTTCCACACTGACAGACTTTACTCGGGGCCGGACATCTAGACACGTCCTCTGGAGGAGGTAGATGCGCCTCAGCTAAAGCAGGGCACGTGCCTCTCTCTCGCTTCCCCCCTCCAGGCTGTTGTTATTACTCACATAAAGGAAACCTTCTAAAGAAATGGCTCCACGATGAAAGAGAAAACACAGAACCCCAAGTCCCCCACAGAACACAAAAGCCATGGGCAGGCGAACAAGACAGATTAGGCCGTGGGAATGTTAGTGTCTCAGACTGTCAGTGTTACAGTGTTAGACAGCCGTCCCCAGGAGGGGGAGTGTACAGAGCGGGACAAACCCTGCGTGAAGGAACGGTCCTCTGTTCTTAGGGAAAGGAGGCAGACGTAAACACAGAGACGGAATGGGGAGATGAGAAAAAAATACCCGACGACATGACAGCTTGGAAAAAGCTTAAAACTTTCCACAGCCTGTGCTCACTTCCCGGCCTGTCCCTTTTCTTCCTTTCTGCTCTTTATTCTTTGTGGTACTGGCTCAACCATACCAAATTTATAGGCAATGCTTTTGGGATACTTGCTTAAAACTCTTAACAGTCACTTAAGGAAAATGTAAGGGGCGATTTTCCTGAAGTTAAAAATAAAAAGTATGGGATTTCATATTTGTCAATGAGCACGTACCCAAGGAGCCATAGAGAAAACAAATCCATAAAAATGAGGACTATATATTTTTTAAACACTCTTCCTATTAGAGTCTAAAATTCTTAGTGAAGCATATGCCCAACTTTTGGTATTGATGTTATCACTTGACATTGCATTTACTGGTTAGTATCTGATTCCTAACTTTTATCTACCTATGTGTTCTATACTC